AGACAGAAATTGTGACTTAATATGTTCTCAAAAAGAACTCTTCTAAACTTTTCACAAAGTAAGTGTCTTAGGTGTTCATTTATGTAACTTTTCTATGGCTGAAACTACTAAAGATTTTCCTGGCAATGTCACAAAAAATTTTGATTGTAAACAAAAGAATTATTACAACTGTATATTTATAAATGCACCTGTTCAGGAAGTCATTTTTAAATGAAGGAACAGTTGGGATTTAGCTCAGATGTAGCCTAGTACTACAAAAAAAGAAAAAAGGACGAGTATAGTTGATATCATCTAGGGCAGATGCTGCCTGGTCCAAACAGAATGTTCTTTTCTCTTTACATTTGTTTTATGCTCTGGGTAATGTCCTTAACTCCACCCTGTGTCAACACCAGCCAAGGAAGAGGCTATGACTCATCCCAGAGTACTGACCCAGGGGCTAGACTCCAAATATAGTTGATGGATGATGAGTCAGTAGATACTTTTTGGTTTAAAAATTGGAATCAAGGGGCTGGGAAGGTGGCTCAGTGGTAGAGTATTTGACTTGCATGCATGAGGCCCTGCGTTCAATTCCTCAGTACCACATAAGCAGAAAAAGCTGGAAGCGGTGCTGTGACTCAAGCAGTAGAGCATTAGCCTTGAGCTGAAGAGCTGAGGGACAGCGCCCAGGCCCAAAGTTCAGATCCTACAACTGACAACAAAAAAAAAAAAAAAAGAAAGAAAGAAAAAACAAAAAAAAACTGAATCAAGGGGATTCCTCTTTAGGAGCCTTCTTACAGCTTTCTTTTCAAATTCAAAAAAATTTCTCTGTCTACTTTAAAAGATAAATCAATTAATTAAAATATGTGAATTAAAATTCTCCAAGACAGAAGTTCCCACGTGAAGTATTACACTCACTGAGCTAGAAGATGAGTTAGAGCACAAGAAGTTTATTATACATAATAAAGTGCTCATACTAAAGTCCTTTTGCAATAAAAACAAGTTACTCCTATTACCAACTTGTAGAATAGTTTCTTAAGAGGCAGTGCAGGTCATTTACCCTTGGCACCCATTGTATGTTCACACCTAGGGCAGAAGTTTGTTAAGGAAATCTGATATATCAGAATATTTTATATATTCTTTTATAATACGATTTCCTTTCAATGATTTTTCAAGTCATATTTATAAAAAGTTAGTGACCAGGGAGATTAGGGAGTTCTTTTGTCTTGGATAAGACATTTCCCATTGGAAGTTAAAGCTGAAGTGAAATCTGTCTCCTTTTTATCTCCTGTGACTATTCCACTTGAACAGATGATGACAGAGTTCACTAAAAAGGCTAAATGGAAGATAGAAGTTTTAAGGAAAGGGCTTTTAAAAAAAATCGTTCCTCAAGATGGAAAAGTTAATTCGTACTTTTTTCTTTGTTACTAAAAGGTCATAAAAATCCATCGAAAAGCCATATGACACAAGATTGGCAGTCAGTGGTTATTTTTATTGATTTTTTTTCCCTACAAGAGTTTAAGGTTAATGACACCTTAGGTCAAAATACTCTAAGGAAATAAAATCTATTGCATTAAGAATTTCTAATCTAGTTTAACAAAGTGTACTTATTACCCGTAACCTGACTTATTACCTAACTTATGTACCTTCTGTACATCATCTTTACAATAAAAATAAATAATAATAATATAAAAAGAATTTCTAAGCTAATGCAATAAAAGAGAAAAAGATATAAAGGAAGAAAATAGGAGATATGACCCCAAATATAAAAATAAACTTTTATGATGGCAAAAGTTCGAATGGACAAGTTACCAAGGTAACTTGAACCTCCCTCATAGTAACATCTAAATTTAGATTATCGACTCAGTATTTCTTGCCCCCAATGAAAGGACCATCCTGTTGCCTTTTTGAATAAATAAAACCTCACCTAGATGATGAATCCCTGACCCAGTCCCGTGATAGAAGTTATTCAATTAAAGTTCATTTTTGTTAGTGCCAGTTCATAAGCTTTGGGTCGGTGAGGGATGATAATCGAAGGCTCTAACCATTTGTTGGCTGTGACTTCCTGTGCCCAAATGCATTCACTTCCTCTTCTGCAATGGTGGAGTACAGTTTTGAAGATCTTTTCCCTCTACTGGAAGGCTTGCCACTGTCATGATCTGAATGTCTTTTGTAATAATCTCCTCTTTGCACTACTGAGGAAAAGGTACTCATTTTACCCTTTGTAGTAGCAAATACATCAATGTGTTTACATTAATATTAAAAGTGTTAATATTACAAATTAAATACCAGCTCACCCACCCAACCTAGGATTCAAGGAACTCAAAAGTATTGATCCTGGGCAGATAGACCATTATCTACAGAATTCAACAGCCAACATTATGGAAATGTCGTGCAAAATGAGGTGAGCTCTGAATCTGCCCCCAAAAAGTACTAACAAAAAAAAGACCCCATTATTACCATTTTGATTCCACGATGGATTAACAAAAATCACATTCACTATGGAATAATCCAGAAGAATCACAGTGATTTACCTGTTTCAGAAATTAGTTGGGCACGCTAGTCCAAAGGGAGGCACAGAACAAGGAAATGAAGCAACCAGCATGAATAATATACAAGAAATCAGGAATGAGCACAATGGGAACAGTCTTTAGGGAGAAAAATAGGGCTCACACTTGGCTGCCATTTCTGGGCCATGGTAGAAGATGAGCTGAGACATAAACTCCAAAGTTACAATCTTACCACCTTGGACATTCAGAAGTTCTCAGATTTCATGGATATTTTTAGTCCAATTTCAAAACCAACTAATATAATTAGCATAATCTCTTGTGGTTATTTTATTCTGGATCCCAGCTGGGAAAGTGAAGGATTCCACTGCTCTGTTGTCCCAACCAATTAGAAAGATGGGCATGAGCTGTCTCCTAGTATCTGTTACTGGTATGGGAGGGGGAATCAAACATGTATTTCCCCATCCCCCAAATTCTTTTAACCTCCTTAAGAAAGAACATTTACTTTTTCCCAGTAGGTAAAAGTCTGCTAGTGGTATCCAATGTCATGCTCTTTGTAACCAGGGAGGCTCTATGACACACAATCTTATCCACAAGACTGTCAAGACTACTCTAGTCATTGTTTTGATTATCTATAGACATTTTAAAAACATCATTGTCCAAATGTGTGCATAAAATGATTTTTTGTTCAATCTTTAGAGGTTTTTTTTGGGGGGGCGAGAGTAAACCCTTCAATATTTTGATTGCTCTTAACAAGATGAAAAGTCCTCCTTCTTACTATACTACTACCCCTTTGTACCTCCCAATTTCTCCCCCTACCCCCCTACTCAATTCTTTCAGGCATTTCCAAGGCTTCCCTGAAAACACAGGTGCAAAGTCAGCAGTTACAGAAAGGAGAGATGGGGGGGGGAGGTGTTTAAGGGAGGGAAGGGTGGGGGTGGTAGGAATGGGGGAGAGGCTGTGTGGTGAGAAAGCTGTCAGAGCATGCTCGCTGGCTCTGGACATGCTAACTTATCACCACTGAAGATTCTTGTCTTAACGCCAAGTCTTCTAAAAGCTTTGGCTGTAATACCAAGCCCTGTATTTCTTCCATGTGAAATATCTATAGTTACCAGCCACCTTTTTATACCTTTAGTTTCGTTGACAAGCCTTTTATCAGCTTCAGACGCTGACCCACCTCTACCCCTGCCCTTTTTTCATAGCCAGTAGGTGAGTGAGGCTTTTACCAACCAAATGAATGTGCAGAAGGGAGAAGAGAAAGCCAGCGTTATTTCTTAATAGACTCTAAAACCACAAAGACAAAACTAGGCTGCAATGTAAGACTATGGCCAATATAATAAATATAGGCCAAGATAGGAAGATGTCAGACCAGAAAGGATTCAAAGAATTCCGAAGCATTAACAAATAACTAAAATAAAACCCAGGAACTTCAAACAAAATGAGAGCAATCTGGACATGGGTGATGTGACTATTTGTGTGGCTCTAGAATTTTTTGTTTTAGGTGTAAAGAAGTTTAAAGACAGCATTTATGTTATACTTTACAAAGGACAACCAGTACCTGAAAGTCAACTGTACATTTAAAAGAATAGGGAGAAGCCAGGCATTGGTGGCTCATGCCTGTAATCCTAGCTCCAGAGGCTGAGATCTGAGGATCATGGTTCAAAGCCAGCCCAGGCAGGAAAGTCTATGAATTTCTTATCTCCAATAAACAAACAGAAAACTGGAAGTAGTGCTGGAGCTCAAATGGTAGAGTGCTAGCCTTGAGCTGAAGAGCTGAGGGACAGTGCCCAGGCGCAGAGTTCAAGCTCCATGACCGATGGGGGGTGGGGGTGGGGGCGCTGGGGGAATAGGGAGAATGGGGGAAAGAAATATCCCGGATGCTGCTGACACTGCCCTAACCAGGCCTCCCTCCTGATACTGGCAACTCAATCTGATTCTAGGGGAAAGCCTTGAAGTCACAGGATTGTTGTTGATCCTACCTCAGCAAATCAAAAGGAACTAACTAAGAGTGGCAAACTGAGAAGACAATCTGAGTGTCCAGGCAGGCACCACACTTCTGTGAATGAAACATGTCTGCCTCTTGACCACAAGGTGCTGCAAGATCGCTCAGGGCCTTGAGTTGTTCCTGAATCATGATGACTTACCACAACTGGGGATGTTTTGTGTAGAACGACTGGTACCTAAAATTCTGCAGATAGCGCCAAACAGGTCACAAAATCATGTTTAAGGAGCTCCTGACACACTGGGAGCTGATTCAAGAGCATCTTATGATTATTCCTGCAAAGGAGTGTGTCCTTAGGGCTGGGTGTCTCTGCTATGCATTTAATTCTTCATTAAGATCCAATGTCATCAGCAGGCTGAATTAAGTTTCTAGACTAAGGAACTACTCTGGTTCCTCAACCTTCATCCAAGAGGTGCTAATTTGAATGCCAAGCTATTCTTTAGGACCAGAATTCATTCCTTTCTTTTGAAATTACTATCTTTGGGAAGAGCAAACCCAGAAATAAAAGTTCTTACCTTCCTGTGAAAATGTCCTGGGACTGGGTTGGGGGCTATTCTGGCCATCTCTCTCTTTGTCTGAGGGAACTTTTTTCAGGACAGGTGGAAGAAGAGCAACTTTAGGGGAACTAGGGCCCGATGGAGAGTCTGGGATGTCTTCTATAAAAACACAAACACATGAATCAATTGTTCCAAGCACATAAGCCAAGTGAATCTTTACATACAGATGACTCACAAGGAAAAAAAAGCATCATAGAATTTTTATGGCCAATTTTTTTTTGTTTCTGCTCAGGGAATTAATGCCCACAAAAATAAAGAATAAAATATTATTCTAAAAGATTAAAATTGGCCCAGATAGGATCCTATCCTATTTGACAGATACAGCAATTTCAATAAAGTGATATTTAAAAATTAGCCTATAAATGAGCCACATGTTCCTTCTGTCTGAAACACAAGACTATTTTGTATTAAAATATGTAACACTATATAGTACATTGCCTTTTCCTGTGGTCAAAGCTAGTGCAAGAGTCACAACATACTTACTGACATGTAGCTACAAACACACATTGAAATCTTTGGGAATAATTTGGAAACAAAGTTTTAGCATCATAAAATCCTTTGGTCATGGGAAAAATGAAGAATATGTTAGGCTAAAAAAAAAACCTCAGGAAATATCTAGGAAGATAATACTAATGTCTATGTGTGTCAGTCTTTCTCTGGTAATACTAGAGATTGAACTGAAGGCCTCATGCTTGCTGACCAAGTGCTCTATTATGTGAGCCATGCTTCAGTCATGTTGTCTTTAGTTTGTTTTCTGTGAGGAAACAAAGTGATGAGGCAAACAGCTAATGTAGGGCTTATTATATTACCCATTCCACTTCCGTAAATATTGAAAATTCTAACAATAGTTAAAAAAAAAACAACCAAAACCACACCCTAGCTGGGCAATGGTGGTTCATACCTGCTATTCTAACTATTAAGGAGACTGAGATCTGAGGCTCATGGTTTAAAACCAGCCTGGTTTTAAAAGTACATGACTCTTATTTCCGAGTAACTAGCAAAAAGCCAAAAGTGGAGCTACAGAGGCTTGCTTTGAGCAAAAAAAAATAAATTGAGAGCTTAAGGTCTTGAGTGCCAACACACAGCCCTCAACAGAGCCCTTGTACCAACACATGTGTTCCATGCACACGTGTGTGCACACACACCCATTCTGTCATTAGATTTTTCAACATTAGCAATCATCCATCTTTTTGTGAGTGGCCAAAGAATAAACACCTTAGGATCTGCAGACATACAGCTCTTTGGCAATCACTCTACTTAGTCACAGTCCATGAATGAACTTTAGAAACATCTACACAAATGCTGTGGGTGTGTTTGGTCAAACTTTATTTAAAAATACAGGCCCACAATTTGCCAAACCCTGTTCTACACATTTGGGATGTCATAGTGTGATAACGTAACAGCTTATGCTTTCCTCATCTGTTGCTTTCTTAAACTGTGCTTTTTAAAGGCTTGAACACCCTGGAGAGAAGTTGAGTAAGCCAAGTCAGGCATTGTATATGGGCCTATGTGACACAAGACTCAATTTCCTGTCCTGACTACCACCCAACTGGTTGTCTTGAATGCAAGGAGAATCTCCAGAGTTTCCACTTCTCACATGTGGTGGGCTTTGGTCTTGAATAAGGTAATCCTTCAGTCTTTACCGTTTTTGTAGCTTTCTGTGGATTTCCTATGAGATCTCTCTACATCCTGTTTACCAACTGCTCATAAGACCAATCGTAGATCAAACCAATCCTGATTGCCAACTGACTCCCAGACAAGCAAGACCCTTACCAGGTCGGGAGATGGTTCTTGGTTTCTGTGGAATGGAGGGCCTTGCTGCTGGGCTGGGCTTGGGAGACTGCAGGAGGGGCTTCGGGCTTGTAGGTGTACTGGACGAATTCCGGGACCTGGAGCCCATGTCCACTTTGGGTTCTGTTTTAGTGTTCTTCTCTGGTGTCCCCAAACCAAAGCGGTTCTCTGGGAGACCAGGATGCAGTTTAGGCACTAGAATAAAAGTGGTATGAAAATCACACTTTTAAAAATGAAATCTCAAGAGACCAATCATTTAAATATAGATTATTTTAGTGTTTTTTTTTTTTTTAGAACTGGTAAAAGACTAAAGTTCTTCACAGAAAAGTAATGAGCTTTCTGATACTTTTCTGATGATCCTTGGGTATTCTAAAGATGGTAAGTTTTATATTTAGCAGTGCACAACTTCCTCATTGTGCGCAAAAAGAAGAGAGGTTCTCAGATCTAGCAAGAAGGAGAAATAAAACTAAATAAGATGACCTCAGTTCTAGATAACTAATAATCAAACCAGACTCTGGCAATAGTTTTGAGTGAGGGCTGTGTTGATAGTCATGATCTCATTTTTAATGGTGAGAACACCACCACACATCACATCACATTCTGCATCTATTCTGTTACCTACATTTAACCAAATAGCTGTCAAGAACAAATTGGTAAATGTGATTTATAGTCCAACTCTAAAGATTGTATACTTCGGAATTCTAACATGAAAGATTGTATACTATAGATTTTATACTATAGAAAGGCACAAGTACATCCAACAGCAGAGTCAAGTTTCTAACATGTAATTTGCAAGTCATTTCCCAGTTTCCATTGCAAGTATATCACCCATTAATTACACTTAAGAAGTCAAAGAAATGATGGATAATTTATTTCGCGCAAACTCAAATTTCAAGAGAAGGCTATTCTTTTGCAGTACACAAAACCAACTTCCAGATGTCAGGTATGGCTTATTTAAAAAACAACAACAAAAACTCCATCTGCCATGTTCCTATGCTCTTCCACCTTCTTCACTAATCAGTATTTCCTCCCTTTGGGAATGGAGAAAAGGTGTCCTGTCAAGGCACAAGGCTACAAGGATGGGAGAAGTCTCCCCAGGAAGTGCCAGAGCTGGTAAAAGGATGTAGTATTGTATGTATGTATTTGTTTATTTATTTTAGGATATGGCATTTTTAAGTGAGAGATGAGAAAATGCAACACTGAGGCCTCTTCTGCCTCTCCCTGCACCTTTTTTTTCTTCTGTTAATTGCAAATGACTCCTGAAGCCAGAAAGCAAATGAGTGACAGCAATAGCCTGACTTACCTGCTCCACCTCCTTCCAATCGTTCCATGTTGCCCAGGGCTGAGCTAGAAGAATCCTGGGAGATGGCATCATTCCCAAACTTCTAAAAACAAAAACAAAACATCCCCAACGTGCATGTTTATTTGAGGTATAAGGAGGCAAAAATAAAACAGCAGGTAACAAATGACAACAAACAATAGCTCCTAAATGTTGTCACTTTTTGACATGGAACATGCCGGAACGATCTGCCTCCCAAAGGTGCTCCTGTTGAGACAAAGGTATGAGGACACATTCTGTTCTGGACACAGTCCAGGCTCTGGGCTCCCAAGGCCCATTTGCCAGAGGGGGAGGTGCATGGCACTAGGGAAAGCCAGCCAGTTCAGTAATATTTCCTCTTTCTAGCAGACCTGATGCTCCATGCAAGGTAAAGGGATCCTCTCTAGGCTTGGTTTCCAAGAAAGCTAGTTGAGGAACAGCGGCTTAAAGGCTACTGACTCAGAACCACAGAATTCAGGTAGGTTGTTGGGAGAAAAATAAAAATAAAAAAGATTACACTTTATGTTTCTTTCTTTTTTTTTTTAGTGTTACAGATCGAATTCAAGGGTTCGTGCATGCTGATCAAGTACTGTACCACAGAACTACAACCCAAAGCCTCAATGAATTTTTTTAAAATTGCAGAGAGGAGGGGCTTGTGGTGTTAAAGATGGGACAAGCCAAATGCCACAGTCTCAGGGCAGAAGCTAAAACTGTTGAACTAAGGAACCACTTTTTTCCCTCATAGTACATAGGATATGGTACCTGGTATGTGGTACATACACTTTTTTCCTCATGGTACGTAAGTCTGTATTAGAATGAAGAGCATAGATTAAAAAAATACATGATCAAGATGCGTTGTACTCAGAAGTTGACATGTTGAATTAGAATATCTTTGATGTTACAAAAAAATTGAAATCCACTCACTACATTCGATTACGTGTCCAGCCACACCCTTCTGGAAGTGCCAGCTCTTCCAAGGAAGTGGCAGGGAGTTGAGAGATCACAGAGCTCTACTTTAGCTAGAGGAGGGGCTAAGCAGGTCTCTGATAAGGAACATGTACACAAGCCCCATAACTACAAGAAGCATATCATCTGGCATCACCATAGAAATGTGACCCCAAAGGAAGAAGCCCCAGGCTAGTCCTCTGTGCTCAGGACACATCTATAGTGCAGGGCTGGTTCCTTGGAGTAAGGACCTCCTTACCTTTATATTCTACTGTGTTGTTGTTGTTGTTGTTTTTTTTCCCTAGGTTTTCTGAGGTAAATATGAATCTCAAATTTGACTGTTCAAAATAAGAATAATATAATACTAAGTGTGCTGGTGTGCCAGCAGCTGACTTGGTGAGCCCCTCTGAAGGAAAGATATGATCCCTAAGCACTTACAACCCATTGCACTCAATAAGTGACAAATCTTCCCCTACTGATTCTTCTATTGATGTTTGTTGCATTATCAATAATATATCAATAATATATTTTATTCTAAACCTATTTTAAAAACAAACCTTTCTTTTATTATTCTGATGAATACCCATGGTTGGTGTGTAGTTTATATATACTAAAAATTGGTAATGATGGTTGCTCAAACTGACAGTAGATGGCGCTCAGAGAACAGTAACATAATCCATCCCCAAACAACTACATTAAGCCATAAGGATTGTGCCACTTTGAGTCAATTTATATATTAATCCAAAGCATACACACATACACACAAACACACACACACACACACATTAAAAAAGGCAACAGTAGGATTTCTCATTTTTTCACCAAAAAAGCAACTGGCATCATTGATAAAATATACAGCTAATTTGTGAAAATATGCCATTCACTGTTATAAAGAAGTTACAAGTGGATTAAAATATAAACCTCTGGACATGTGACTCACTCATGCTATGGATGTAATGTATAATCCGAATTCTGACCAGTAAGGACTCCATCCTGTCTCCCTTGAAAACTACATGGACTCTTTCAAAACTCTTCCCTCTGTCACTGACTGAGGGAATCTGAAACTAGGTAATAGTTAGGGGCTGATGCTGATGGAAGAGGTCTGGTGAACAGCTGTGAAATCAAGTGGGATTCAGGATTTAATATAAGGGAGTTGTTTAGAGTTAAAATGAAAGATCCCTTTATAACATGGCTATGTAGTTTACTATTAACCTTCTGAAAATCAAGGGTTCACTGGGGAGAATGGTTTTCTTCTGAAACCCCGCATAAAACAGAGGGCAATATTCCTTTCTTTGAGGCACTTGGATATGTAAAAGCAATAGAGCTTAAGATATGCTTGTAATCCCAGCTACTCAGGAGATACAGGCAGGAAGAGCACAATTAGTGAGATTTTATTTCAAAAACGAAGTTTAAAAAAAGATGAAACCTGGTAGCATGGCTCGGGATTGAGCACTGGGGTTAACCTGCAGTTCACAAACAACTACAAAAAAATTAAAATAAAACACAACTCAGGCTAATGAACAGTAACTAAAACTCGAGTTCAACATTGGCATGTTTATGTTAATGACTGTCACAAGAATGTTCTCTTTTAAGTACATGAAACAGATACATAACACTCTGAAAAGACTCTGAGAATGAATAGATTGCAATTTTTAAAATATGAAATTTTCTTTGATCAATGGTTGAGTAACCAAGCAATTAGAAAAAGATTGCCCTGAATTATTCTTTCTGGTTTTTTCCTCATCATCATCATCACCATCACCATTATCATCATCATCATCATCCTTATTTTGGTGCAGCTGCTACTGGGCTTCGAACTCAGGGCCTTATGTTCTCACTTCTCATTTTCATTCAAGAATAACACTCTACCACTTGAGCTATACCTCCCACTCTACTTCCTTTTTTTTTTTTTTGGGTTCGGTCATGGGCCTGGGCACTGTCCCTCAGCTCTTCAGCTCAAGGCTAGCACTCTACCACTTGAGCCACAGCGCCACTTCTGGCTTTTTTTTTTTCCTGCTTATGTGGTGCTGAGGAATCAAACCCAGGGCCTCAGGCATGCAAGGCAAGCGCTCTACCACTGAGCCACCTCCCAGCCCCCTCTACTTCCAGCTTTTTGCTGGAAATCTCATAGATTTGTCTTCCTGGGCTGGCTTGAAACCTTAATCCTCAAATTTCAGTCTCTTGAATAGCTAGGAATACAGGCATAAGATACCAACACTAGCCCCTAAATTTTTCTTTTGTTATTTAAATATGGAATTATAAAAAGGACTCTGCAGATTAAAAACAAGTCAAACTTTGAAATAAACGGGAACTAGATTCAGCCCTTATGTGATGATCATCTGGTTGTGGTATTTGCGTTAGCCTGTCAATTCTCCTATCCACAATCACCCTAAGGTCTGCATTCAAATTCAGCTGACTCAGTCTTTCGCAGCTGTGAGCATTTCCAAGAACAGCTCTCACTCACAGGCTATTATGACAAGTTCAGGGAGAAGGGGTCAATTCTCTGAGCCAATGATGGAGCTTCAAAGCTGCAGTGGCTCACCTCAGCCCTGTGGCCCTTGGGCCCAAGTGTGCACTTGTGCCACACCACCATGGCGAGGGCTATCCGGTCTCTAAGGAAAACACAACAAAAGGACCGTCCTTACCTTCTGCACACAGGCGGCTCTCTTCTCCTGCTTGGCCTTCATCTCTGCCAGCATACCACTGCCCATCACCTGGACCCCATATCTCCGCCCTCCCTGTGGGCTGCCTCTACTGTCAGCACGCTCCAGCCTCCCGCTTTCTTCCCCTTGACTCTCTTCAAAGGAGTCGGGGGTTTTTATCTCCTCGGTGCGTTCAAAACTGCCATTGTGCTCAGCTGCCTTCGTGTCTCTCCTGGGAGTGTCCACAGCTGGACTTCTAACAGCGCCTTTTGGTGAAGAGGGTTCATCTGTCATCAACACCGTGGGTGGCCGCTCTGACTTGGACCGGACTTTGATTAAATTGAGAAAGCCACTTTTCCGAGAGTCTCGTTTTTTCTTTTCTTCTCCTCCTTCCCCAAGCTCCTGGGACTCAGAGCCTCTGGAAGAGGATCTCCTGCATTTCAACGCAAGACACAGAGCCTGTGATTGTGACTCAAAATAGAAACTCTAGCAGGATTCAATGAAGACATAAATATGAAGATTACCACTGTACCCTCAGCTATCCTACTTAGCTTTACAAAAGTGAAGGCATTTTTGCTTAGAAAAGTGAGTATGTGGAGTATGATTGTATTGAATCCATCTGGAAGAGGCACATGCCACTAAGAATGAGAACCTGAGGCTATCCGTGGTGGAATTGGGTACACAGGGAAATTTTCACATTCAGATGCTTTGGTCAAGCCTCTCTATGTGTGTGAACTTCCAAAAAAGCGGGGTCAATTTGACACGTAAATGGGTGACTACTTTGTGTACTTTGAGAACATCGGAAAAGGCCAGATTGTTCTAGAGTCCCCTAATAATCCTTTTGTCATTATTAGATTAATGCCTGAAATCCTGCCCTTAGTGGTCAAGCCAAGCCAAGATTTGGATCCTTGCTTAAATGTAAGAGCCACTGAAAGCAGCAGCAAAATGAGAAGGCAATGGGAAAGGTGGGCAGAAACAAGTATTCTTTAATGTGGGGAATGGGAAGAGAAAAAGAGAATAAATAAGAGCTATGGGAGGCATCACAAAGCAACTGTCTTCCATCTAAAGTTGGCAGACTCAATATCCACTTAGCTCCTCTGAATCTCCATTAAAGTCACACAGCAAAGGATGACAAAAAAACAGGGCTTTGAGCCACCCAAGGGAGAAATGACAAAAACAACAGAAGTCCCTACAATTAGGAGCAAAAACCAGTTTCAGAAATCTGAGAAAGCTGAAATGTCATCCACAGGCCAGAAGTGATTGGATTTATGTGGGTGTGGAACAAGGAACAGGGACATCTGGGGATATAGAAATAAAGGGAAGCTGAAGAGAGAAAGGCTGGCTGAAAGCTCATTCATAAAACCCTCAGCTTCTCTCCCTAAGTCCAAAGCAAGAATGCCCACTCCACCCTGACTTCATTTACCGCAGAGAGTGAAAGAAACTCAGAGTGCAGCTGAAGTGTACAATACTGAAAACAGGGTTCACGACATCCTAAACAAGGCTTGGCACCATCTAGTGTACATCTGTAAAAACAGCTACTTTATAGATCGAGATAAGAAGGTTGAGGTAAAAAGTTATCAATATCCTAGCCGGGCGCTGGTGGCTCACGCCTGTAATCCTAGCTACTCAGGAGGCTGAGATCTGAGGATCGCGGTTCAAAGCCAGCCCGGGCAGGAAAGACCGTGAGACTCCTATCTCCAATAAACCAACAGAAAACCGGAAGTGGCGCTGTGGCTCAAGTGGTAGAGCGCTAGCCTTGAGCTGAAGAGCTGAGGGACAGTGCCCAGGCCCAGAGTTCAGGCCCCACAACCAGACCCCCCCCCCCAAAAAAAAAATATCAGGCTTACTTCCATCTGATCACTTTGCAGAAGTGAGATAAGGCACAAACATCTACAGAACAGACTAGGGTCTTCCCTCCCTGTCAGGGGCCTGCCTGCCCTACACTTATCAGTACGGTTTAAACACCTTCCTGAATCTGATATCTCAAGGTGAAGAATACTTCATAGACACACGGCATTGTGAGAAGCATATTTGGGGATGGATCTGCATTTAGGTGAGAAAAGACTAGGCTTAAAGACTGGAGTATTTCCAGTTCAATTATTATTAATAGAAGCACCACCAAGCTAACTTCTAAGAAAACAGCATCCTAAGTAATAAAAAAAAAGAAATGCAAGAAAAAGTCTTCAGAGACTAACCTCTTTACCAAATCTATTATTCTGACACCATATTATCATGCCATTTAGCAATGACTTAGCTTCCTCCACCCCATCCCCTGTCAAATGTATCAAATTATGGACAAGGAGAATCTCAAAGTAAGGAACCCTGATATGGCAGTGTTCAGAGTCCTATAATTTGAGTGAATGAGAAAAGCACCTCCCCACCCCACCCCTGCCAGCCAAAATACATTGAGGTGCCTCCACCTAAGCTGAAGAGCTTATGGAAACATTGCTGTGCTCCACCTTGTTTCTGATTCACTAGGCCTGTGGTTAGGGCCTTGAGGATGAGCATTTCTGCCATGTTCTAGGTGACACTGATGTTGCTGGCTTGAGAGACTATATGCTATAAACTCAACACAACTGTACATTTTCTATCTAAAAAAAGACTTCATATGCTGTGTTTAATTGTAACTGTGAGTGACTTAAATGGTAACTAGATAGTATTGCTAATGAAGTAACTCACCTGGAATCCAGTTTGGTCACTTTCTTGGTGAAAAATTCATCTACACCTTCATCTACTCTCCCCATAAGGCCATTCTGTTCTCCATCTTGAGAGACAATGTTGACAGCACAGACCTGTTGAAAATACAAATACAGTTAACTTACCTTCATCTTAATTCAGCAAACATGTATTGCTGAATTCAAAGTGTTGAAAAAGTGCCACAGGAGGGAAAAGACTCGCTAAAATAGAGAACACATAAGCTGCTGAGACAGAAGCCATGTGGACAACCATAATGTAGACAGGAAGAAACAAGGTTTCTAAAATGCACTATAAACCCGATGTCTGATAGGGAATTCATGACGACTGGTATATCAGAAACTAGGGTTAGTAGGCTGTGAAAAATCTATATGAAATGCTGAAGAGTGAGCAGACAACAGATAATAAAGAGCAGTGTGAACAATAGAAACAACGTCTCATCTAAACAGTACTTTATATTGACCGGTGCAAGCTTTTCATATGTATTGCTACAGAGAAATAGCAAAATTATTCATTCATTTGTATACAGAAAGCAGCTCACTGAATAACTTCTTTGGACTACAAATGATAAAGTAACACAGAGCTTACTTATATTATCATTTTTCTTTTTGGACAAGAAGGGGGAATACCTCAACAGCAGTAGTTAAGAGCCCTAAGTTGGCCAAAGCTCAAAAATTTACATGTGTTTTGCACATTATTATTTCACCCTCCTATCTAGCCTTTGAACTGAAAAGCAAATACAGCTTTATCCTAGCTGCTGGACAGTTCCAGATCAAACAGTGGTGCAGAGAGCAAAGGCTATCCACACCTATCACATCACTAATGAATGAGGAAGGTTAGGACCTCAGGACACTGGGTCCTATCACGGGGCTTTCTTCCAGCTACTTCTCAAATAACTCTCCTTCCTGCTATAAGGGGAGGCACGGGAGATTAAGCTTCACTTGTATAATATCTCCCCCTCAGCCCTTTTCTTTTTCTCCTGCTTTGAAACAGAGTTCACAGCTGGCACAAAAGGCTCTCTGGGGATGCGGATAACTTCAATGGCTTCAGAGATGGAGGCACAGAGCTGAACAGAGCTTTCTGCTTCTCTGCAGGCCAGGCCACATTTTAGTGCTGGACTGCACCTCACACATCTCCCAGTCCAACCCTGTCATCTTAAAGATAAAAAGACCCAGAGCAGACAGGTTAAGGGAAGTCCAGGATCACTGGGAGATCTTCAGTGAGGCATGTGTTAAAAGGCAGCTGTTAAATAGGAAGCAGGAGGTACCCACTGGCCTGAGACAAGCAGCCAAAAAACTGAAGACTGAAATGAAATGTGGTCTGTAAGAGAGTTCAAGGCCAAATGCACATGCTGTTTTAGCTCATTCACTAGCCAAAGGAAAAGATTGAATTCAAGTCTTTTCTGTCAAGGAGAATAAAAATCAGACTGAAAAGAGCAGCACAGTTGTAGGAAAGAGAAAAGAGAGACTATAAACTAGTGCTGACCAAACAGACTGCACTTGCCTTGGAGAAAGGCTTCTTGCAAACAAAACCAGTGATGTTTGAGAAATAAAGAAAGCAGACTTCTTTGCATCTCCAGTGTATAAGTAATCGCTCAAACGATATAATTTGGGAGTACTTAGAAGATCAGTTGGTGATTGTGAGGAATAAAGGCAATTCAGACCACCCTCTGTTTTCCCTCTACCAGGATGAGTAAAGGGAATGTGCCTGGGGAAAACCCTGAACGCTGCACCTGGCTTTTGATAAGACAGCTGCCAAAACTCCCACTACATCTTCCTAGGCTGGATGGAGATGGGCAGGAAGGAAGTTAGGACAATTAGGTGCATTAGTAACTCTGTGAATAAATATGACTAGAGAGTGTTAATTAGGAAGCTGAATAATCATGGTAGTATATATGCATGCATTAGACAGTAAGAATCATGGAAAATTGATGACTTAAGGAAACAAGGTGAGAAATAAAGAACTCAAAGGAAATAAAGACTAATATAAGACAAAAATTAATGAACTTGAGAAGATGGATAAAACTCAAAATGATGGTTTGAAAGCGACTAATATAAAAGGCAATCTCCTGTCTGAGGAACAAACATTAAAATAGATTAAAAATGAAAAGAATGAGGGGGGCTTTGAAGAGATTAAACTCTTAAAAAAAAACTTCAACCTAAATGAACAATTATACTAAGTGGACAATATATAGAGAAACAAATTATCAAAATGGTTTCAAAAAGAATTAAGTAACCTGGATAGATTTACATACACAGATCTTATACTAATGGCACACAGAGAACACTTCGGTTCAGGATGGTGTCCCAGGAGAGGAAGGAACAGACTATATTACATACAAATTGTTCCAGAGATTAGGAAAGGAAAGGTGGCTGCCAAATAATTTTATAAATAAAGTATGACTTTGAAACCCGAACTAGAGGGATAGTCTAGACAAGAAAAAAAGAGAAATTACAGGATTCCCATTTATGCATATAGATATAACAATCGTATAAGAATATTGACAAATAAAACCTCTCAGTTTGTTAGAAGATTGCAAAAAAAATGAGCAAGTCTGGCATAACATTAGAAAAAATCTATTGATATGATTACCACAACATCAGGTTAAAACAGAAAAATGGGGTCTGGGAAGGTAGCTCAGATAGAGTGCTTGCCTTGCATGCATGAGGACCTGGGTTCAATTCCTCAGCACCACATAAGCAGAAAAAGCCACAAGTGGTGGTGTGGCTCAAGTGATAGAGCGCTCGCCTTGAGCTGAAGAGCTGAGGGACAGCACCCAGGCCCAGAGTTCAGGCCCCACAACCAACCAAAAACAACAACAACAACAACAACAACAAAACAGAAAATGATCAATGCCAACCCTGAAAAAGTTAAATTAAGCAACTGTTCATTGAAAAAAATATCAAAACATGATGAAAAAATTGTTAACTTAAAAACAGTAGCAGAAATGACTATGTGTCTGTCCAGGATCTATTTACCAATTCTTACTTAGTGAAAAAAAACACAACTTGATTCTTTTAAAGTACCAATGTGATTAGCTTCAACATTGACCTTTCCAAATTGTCTAACAATAGTGTGTGTGTGTGTGTGTGTGTGTGTGTGCGCGCGCGCACATGTGTGTATGTGTGTGTGTGTATGTGTGTGTGTGTATGTGTGTGTATGGTTTCTAGCCAGGGGGATGTAATAAGGACTTCTAGGTAATTCATTCTCTGTTGCATGTCCCTCCATATGGAATATGTTAATAAAAATAGATTATAAACCAGTGCAATGAAGACCATGTTTACAGGCTTGGCCCATGGATATCAATCTTAGTGCTTCATTAGTGCTGAATGGCTGGGACTGCCGTGATGAAAGAAGATGGTAGAGCCATGAGTGAAGGAAGCCTGAGTCTCTGAACGACTGTTGTAGGGACCAGAAATGCCCTCAGTGGACTATGATGGGAGCAAGAAATGAACTCAGGGATTTAGCTAATAAAAATTCCTATCACATAATGGCTAGGCTTATCACACTTAATACATTTCTCTTTTGTCTGCTATACTCTTGTATATGTATTCTGAAAGATTCTAGGATCTTCCCAAATACCATTTCCATTCTTACTTCATTCACATTCACCAAAAGCAAAGACTTCTGAAGTCATTCCAACTATAAAAGAATTTTGAATAGGAATTTCTTTTTTTTTTTTTAATTCAGGGTGCCTACAGGGTTTGTGTCTCAATCTGCTATACCAAAATATCTGAAGCTGGATCCTTTATTAGGAAAAGGGCCTTATTTTGTTCTCAGTTCCGAGGGTATGGTGCTGTGGTACTGGCATTGGTTTCTGGTGAAGGCCGTACAGGGGTAGGGAGGGAGGGAGAGAGACAGAGAGACAGAGACAGACAGACAGAGAGACAGACAGAGAGAGAAGAATTTCTTATATATGACTTGTTACTTAATGAAAGACTCCTCCCAAATTAGCAAGGGTGGCTTAATAGAGGCAATAAATCAGACTTTCTTCTTTTCCTTCTCCATCTTAGAATGGAGGAAGGGAGACATAGAGCCAAGGAAAAAGCCAATATTTACTTTTTGTAAGAGCTAATATTAATAGATGAGCTCTGAAAAATAATATTTGCATTTAATACAGGTTTGTGTGCTTTCGACCCATTTATTTTTCAAGACAATTCAATGATGTAGACAATGCTGGTAATTTAGAAAGGAGTTAGCCCAGGCTCAGAAAGATCAAACTTTGTACATATATATCCTGCCAAGAATGGGAGAACCCCTCAAATCTTGCCTACCAAAGAGGAGATGAAACTCTACAGCCAGCCATAATGTAATGTCTTAAGAGTCCTTATATATGCTTTAATTACATGGACAAGATGGTATATACATTATTATTATTATTGTTCTTGTTATTGTTATTGTTTAGGGGAAAGCAGGAAAACAAAAAAATATAAAGTTAAAAGGTTTACATCAATTATTTAAAGGTGCTTGGCAATTTTAAATGATTGTAATTTGCCACATAAGATTAAAAATTAAAATACTTTTGTAATTTATTTTTAATAGTGAGCTAGGGACATACCTGCATGATAGAGCACTGGTCTAGCATGCACAAAGCTCTGGGTTCAAACCTTAGCATTCTACATGCATATCAAAACAGTAAGATCAATGTAAGTGTAAAAGGTTGATTTGGTTTTTTTTGCAACCCCCCCCCCCTTTTTTTTTGCCAGTCCTGAGGATTGAATTCAGGGCCTGGGCACTGTCCTTGAGCTTTTTTTACTCAAGGTTAGTGCTCTACCACTTGAGCCGTAGTGCCATTTCCAGCTTTTTCTGTTCAATATAAGATCAATTTGAGTGTAAAAGTTGATTTGTTTTAGGCTGGGCGCTGGTGGCTCACGCCTGTAATCCTAGCTACTCAGGAGGCTGAGATCTGAGGATCGCGGTTCAAAGCCAGCCTGGGCAGGAGAGACCGTGAGACTCCTATCTCCAATAAACCAACAGAAAACCGGAAGTGGCGCTGTAGCTCAAGTGGTAGAGCGCTTGCCTTGAGCTGAAGAGCTGAGGGACAGCGCCCAAGCCCAGAGTTCAAGCCCCATGGCCGACAAAAAAAAAAAAAAAGTTGATTTGTTTTGTTTGAAAAAAATAAAGTTACAATGATATTTGGTTTTTGTTTTTTGCCAGTCCTTGAGCTTGAACTCTGGGCCTGGGCATTGTCCCTGAGCTTCTTTTGCTCAAGGCTAGCACTCTACCACTTGAGCCATAGCACCACTTCTGTTTTTTTTTTTTTTTCTGTTTATATGGTACTGAGGAATTTCATGCATGTTAGGCAAGCACTCTACCACTAAGCCACATTCTCAGTCTAAATATTATTAACTTTAGCCAGGCAGACATTGACATGTTGGAATTTAAAGTGATCCTTGATAAATAATGCTGCAATGAACACAGTTGTGCTGGTGGTTTTAGTGAGGCCTGGTTTGTGATCAATTGCCAGATGCCTGGGAGTGGGATTGCTGGGCCATGGGGAAGCTCTGTTTAGTCCTTTGAGGAGCCTCCATACTGCTTTCCAGAGTGGCTGAACAAGTTTACACTCTCACCAACAGTGTAGAAGTGTTCCCTTTTGGCCATATCCCCTCCAGTATTTGCCATTGTTAATTTTCTTGATCATGGCCATTCTAACTGGGGTGAGGTAGAATCTAAATGTTGTTTTGATTTGCATTCCTTTTATGGCCAGAGATGTCACACCCGTCTTCATATGTCTATTGGCCATTTTTATTTCTTCTTTGTAGATGTCTCTCTTCAAGTCTTTAGCCCATTTATTAATTGGGTTGTTGTTTCTTTGGGGATTTATTTTTGGTAGGTTTAATTTCTGAGCTCTTATTTGGGGAGAGGAGGGGAAAGCGCAGATATAGTGGGACAAAGGGTGAACCAATTCAGCACTAACACCCACTAGACAACTATGACGGAAATGAACTATACAACTTGAGGAGGAAGTTGGGAGGGGAAAAAACTGGAAGAAAATGAGGGAGAGGGTGACAACTGTTCGAAAGGAAATGTACTCATTATCTGACTTATGTAACTGTAATCCCTCTGTATATCACCTTTACAATAAAATTTTAAAAATTAAAAAAATGTGATCCTTGTCTTTGAAAATTCTCATAGCTGGAATACCTCTTTGGGGGCAGTAGAGATTAACAGACTTAGAAATGCTAAGAAAGACAGTATAAACTGATTTTAGTTAACAATAGCCAAAAAATCAGTGTCAATACTAAATGATTGCTGTGACCATACAGTAGGGATAAATGTTATACTTGTCGCTACCATCTATTTCTTCCTGATTCTAACCTGGAAAAGGTAGGTGAAGGTAGCTGTATGGCCACCTCGCAAGGCTGTTAGACATGAAAGCACTTGGAAAACTGTAAACTGGAACCATTCAGTGTTTTATCTTTACTATGAAACCAAGAAAACAAAAAACATGCTAATTCAGTCCACCAAAGCTCCTAGGGGAAACCTGATTTATTTAGGCTATGACCACAGTCCATTCTTCTTGGTACTCACTTTTGGGTTATAAAAGGAAGTCTCTAAGAAGGAAGAGCCTGGAATGTGCTGGTTTGATCTTGAACAAAGGTAAAGTTTCTCTAGAATATACTGATGAGGCTCAGAACACAGCACCTGAAAACAGCACTGTGGTAACTTAGAAAAACAGTAGGTCCAGAAAGGTCACTTCCGCCTGAAGCAGGTAACACTCCCTTCACTCTAGAGGTAGCTGCCCTACATCTGAAGAAAGAAACTTCCTTACCTTTGAGGACACAGGGACACAGAGATGAATCTATCCCCAGGCCTTACTGCTATGTTCCTATAGTTTATGATCGTAGTGTCTACGGACCCATACTTCTCCATCAGAATAAAAGCACACAGGTTTCTTCTTCCCTTGTGCATTTACTTCTGAAGCTTTCCATGTCAGATAAAACAAAAATTAATTCAGTTATGCTTTTCTCATGTTAATTTGTCTTTTGCTTTAGGTACTTTGGTCAGGATCCCAGTAATGGGTGAGAAAAATAATCTCTTCTCTAGATAGATACCATGCAGTATCTATCTAGTGTACTCCATCACAAGTCCATTCTCTTTTTGATTCTTTTTCCAAGAGCCACCGGCTTAATCCTAGGGAAACTGAAGCCATAATATCATACAGAAGTCATGCTGCTGATCATGCTCCCACATTCATAGAATCAACTACAGAACATTTATTCGATAACAATTTAAAATGGAGAGTGAGTACAGTGTGGAGGGGTATCTTTCTCCCTTAGCTGAAAGCCCTTCCCCTCCTTAAAGAAAAAAAAATTACTCCCCCTCCTCCAAGATTACATATAATAGTACACTTCAAAATATCTACAATGAAGTAAATTAGGAAAGAAAATAATGTAGTAGAGGTTTTTTCTGTTGGTTTTTTTTTTTTTTTTAGGGGAGGGGAGACTGTGTTAAGCTCTTCAGACTCAAATGAAGGACATCAACCCAATGTAACTGAAACCTAATCTAAAACGAATGAATCATTAACCATGTGGACAAATTGCTATGACTCTCATCTGTTTATATCTCCAGCCAGCCATCAATTAATGCATAAGTATTACTAAATATTTGCTTTATGCTAAACCCATAGTGAGCACTGAGCATATTTATAAGGATGATGAGTTATAGCTCTGCCTACAAAGAATTTACAGACAAGGAGGATGGCATGAAGAAACTAACGTGATGAGAACCATTACAGGATAAACACCTCCCACAGAGAGCTGCTGAGGCCGTGCACTGTGCACATCTGTGAGAACAAGTTTCCCCAGAGCCATGCAAATAGCTCTGTGAGAATAGCGAGACTAGGAGGGAGGGGTTCCTGGGAAAGTCTTGTCTCAGTAGAGATGTGAAGGGTCTGACAGTCATTCCCAGCCCAGGAGAAAGCAATCAGAAAGGGCTACTGAAGCCAGATGGGACTTAGGACAGCAAAGGAGTAAGGTGAGGGCGGGAGATTCGGGTCCTATCTGGTTTTTTAATATGTCAACTAGAGATGCCCCATGGGAGGCCGAGGATCTAAGAGGGAGGACAGGTTGACAGGGAAAGCTAAGCTCTCAGTTACGGACTTTTTGCACCTGTGATGTTCTGGAACCTTCCAGTTCAGGAGACATAACCATACCTGAAAATTCAAACTTCAGTAGACAGGTTTGGTCAACAACAGAGCCTGAAACAAAATTTAGATAACTAAAAAAAACCCAAAAAACAAAAAAACAAAACTGAGAAGATGGGTGACAAGGAAGACCAATGGGAAATCACCTCTCAGGGAGGACAGAACTTTCTGCACCAAGCCATCAAGTAATGTGTGGTCATGAGAAGGTCGTGGTGGAAAGCCAGAAATGATATTAGGAGGGTAGTTTGGGGGAGTCAGCTGGTATAGAAGGAGGATTTGAGGGTGGCAGAATGATAGGATAGTGGGAACAGGGATGGTAGGACAGAATTCCTTTTCAGTGATGGACGTGGGGCAGTTTGGCTATATGGGATACAGGAGAGGAGACAGAAACTCAGGAGGTGGATGCCAAAGTAAGTCACGTTCAGGCACCTCAGCACACACAAGTGGATGGAGCAAGCAGCAGTGCACCCTGTGCTCTAGTGCTCCCCCTTCAGCCCTTCCCCATCATAGCACCTGTAGGTCGTCCAATACTGACCATGGCAAGATGCCAAAGTAGGCAGATGGGTGATGTATGTACACAATCCAAAATGAAATGCAGATGACTTATAATTACAATTAAACTCTTTGGTAACTGTTTTGTATCTTTTTACTCTGACATTCAAAATTTCTAGATGTAGCCATGTCTTACTTCCCACAGCTCATGTTTTTCTAGGGCTTCCCAAGAAAGCTCTGTTCTGAAGCTGGAACCTTGACAGCATCATTCGTTCCAGATGCACAGAGCACCAAATTGAGATGCTATGCGTACACACACACAAGGAGCTTCTAGTTTCCTTTGCTATAAATGTCTGTGGTGTACAGGAGGGGCCACCTTTCCACAAGAAGGAAAGTGGGAGGGGACCCTTCCTCACCCACCTACCGTGGCTTGTGTGGGCTGCTGCTTCTTATTTCGCTTTGGCCTTAACTTTGTAAAGTGCTCCAGCTTTTTCCCCTCTTCCGAGGGCAATTCAGAGATAAATCCGGAGCTTCGCTTGTCCTGCCTGATGGATGGGAAAGGCGGGTCTTCGATGTGAATTGGCACCTCTTCCAGTGCTTTATCCAGGTCAAACTCCATTTCTAAAATAAAACAAGCCTCAAGTCAAAGCATAAGGTAGAGAGATGGTAGCAAATAATGCAGAAAGTTCCTATAAATAGTTTTAAGTGTCTCAGGAATAGAAGACATCCATTCTCAAACCACCTTCTTCTCAATGTTTACACATAGCAAGTACTCCTATGGAACATCTGTGTTCCTCACTGGAGGTGTTTCTTGTCACAAGGAAATGGCTGGCATTGGCATTAGTGAAATACTCACCAAAGGCTCTGGACACTGGCCGCAGCATCCTGCTGTGGATGCTCTTCCTTTTGGATTTGGGGGTCATCTAGCAATCAAATACAGAGAGCACTTAGACAGGTAAGCATAGAAAACTTGCCTTTCACACTTCAAAAACATTCGACACCAATTGGTTTAATTTCTTTAAAGGATGGCTCAGCTTTTGCAGATAGCCAGATTCAAGGAGCTGAACTGATAACATTTCTAAATGCTTACAACTTTCTCATACAGTACAGCTCACACTTTTTTTTCTCCCAGCCTTAACCAATTAAAGTTTAATCCTGCAGTTGAAAAGAACAAGGATATAGAAGAGGTTAAGTTTTTTTGAAATAAAGAACTAAACTCATAGACTAATAATTACCAAAACTGAGAAAAATTATTCACAATTATAAATTGTCACAGCAACATTAATGTAAATATATGGAATTTTTGTGGACAACTTCCATGCTTTAGGTAGCTTAGCAATTTCTGTTTCACAGTTTGCCATCAAAGACTGGATCATTACATGACACACAAAGACAAATTAAGAGATGTCATGACTCAAATATCTCTTATTAGATCACACTTGTCAGAAAGTTGTCTGGGATCTTGTTAATTCAAAAAGAAGAAAGAATGAGTAAGAAAAGAGAGAGAGAGAAAGAAAGAGAGAAAGAGAGACAGAGAGAGAGAGAGAAACCCAAACTCAAAACATAAAATTATTCTCCCAGCATTAGTGCCAATTCCTTATTGGAGAATATCACCTTCAGAAAGACATTATCTTCTCCTTCTGTAGGATCACACCAATGCCAAAAATGAAAGGAACTTTTTTTCATCTCCTATGCAAATAAACTTGAAGGACAAAACCAACTCATGATAAGATAAAGGTGACACACCAGCTGTCAGTAGGAGCTGTATCAAGGATAAAATCAGTGATGACAATTAGCCAGCACCTGCTGGCCACTGCCCGCTATCAATCCATGGTGATGGTTTGTAGTAATGTTCACACCAGTTCCATCCTGGAAACTGGTCTGAGTACAGACTAAGAAATAATGTAACTGAAAAAACTTAGCCTTCCTTAAAAAAAAAATCAATGTGGTTCGAAAACATTCCTTGTTTTAAAGAAAAAAAAAAAACTGATTCACACCAACCTTTAAAAGCCAACAACTGCTAGGTGCTAATGGCTCACATCTGTTATCCTAGCTGAATTATGAATTACCTCAGCAGGTAAGTCCATGAGACTCTTATCTCCAATTTACCACCAAAAAGCTGGAACTGGAGTTGTGGCTCAAGTGGTAAAACACCAGCTTGAACCAAAAAACTAAGGTACAGCGCCCACACCCTGAGTTCAAGCCCCAGGACTAATGTCACAAAAAGAAGAAGGAGAAGGAGGAGAAGAAGAAGAAGGAGGAGGAGGAGAAGAAGAAGGAGGAGGAGGAGGAGAAGAAGGAGGAGGAGGAGAAGAAGAAGGAGAAGGAGGACGAGGAGGAGGAGGACAAGGAGGAGGAGGAGGAGGAGGAGGAGAAGGAGGAAGAAGAAGAAAGAAGGAAGAAGAAGAAAGAAGGAAGAAGAAGAAGAAGAAGAAGAAGAAGAAGAAGAAGAAGAAGAAGAAGAAGAAGAAGAAGAAGAAGAAGAAGAAGAAGAAGAAGAAGAAGGCGAAGGCGAAGGCGAAGGCGAAGGAGAAGAGGAGGAAGAGGAGGAAGAGGAGGAGGAGGAGGAGGAGGAGGAGGGACAACGTTACAGTTTTGAAAAAAATGAATGTTAGTAATAACACCCATTTGAGATTAACTGTTGTTGAGAGGAAAGGGAGAGAAAAATTATGAGTAGTTGTATTTAAAACCAGAATTGTTTTCCTGAAATGCAAAAAAAAAATTCAAAAACAGCTATTTATAAAGGAGGAGGAGGAGGAGGAGGAGAAGAGACAACCTTACAGTTTTGAAAAAAACTAATGTCATAACACTCATTTGTGATTAACTGTTGTTGAGAGGAAAGGGAGAGAAAAATTATGAGCAGCTGTATTTAAAACCAGAATTGTTTTCCTGAAATGCAAAAAAAAAAATTTCAAGAACAGCTATTTATAAAGCAACAGGTTTTCAAGTTTGGTAAAAGCACCATTGACACAATGCAACTGGAAAGGGACACAGTTTGAAAGTATTTCTCAAAACCAGCCTTGTACTTAGCTAGAGAAGTTAGTAACTTCTACTCCTCTTCTACTCCTCTAATAATCTCAGGAGACACGAACCACCAAAATTTATGTTGTGTACTGTGAAAAATTCTTCAGAGTTCTGTACAGCTTTCATAGAATCTTGGTAGAGAAAAGAATCAAGGAGTAGCCTGGGGTTCAAGTTTCTGGGAAATTTCATTTAGTCACAAATAAATAGAAGTTTAAAAAGGTATAAGGATGTCCCCATTTTTTTGTGTGTGCCTCTTGATTAAATTTTATACAAAAGTATTTATAGATAAAAATTATCTGGCTCTAGTTTCCCTTTCACTGAAGCCTTTGAAATAGACACCAAATATATAAAAAATATTTGAAAACTGTGACATTTCAAATATATAATAGTTATAACCACAGAGGAAGGAATATATAATTTTTAGTGTATCTATACATATATGACCAGATATACATATAAAAAGAAATTCACTTAAAGCCTGATGCCTATCTGTAAATGGAAAATTTAGTTCAATTTTAGAGATATATTAAGAAATGTAACAATCTAGGATTTCTGGTCATCAATTCAATTAGATGCACCTAAAGCTTAGTGTGTAAAATTTGATTATGAGAAAAGTATATTCTAGCACACTTCATTGCTTTTTTTTCCTTAATATTTCGTATGCTCTTCACAAGTGCAGAAAACTTCTAATTATATTTTTACAAAACTTTTACTGAATTGATCATATCTGTTATTTTTGAAGCTCTATCATGTTTGGACGGGGCTAATGGCAGTTAGCTAAAATAAAAGAGAATTTGTAAGGCAGAGTCTATTGCTTTTAGTTTTGTTCTTTCAAGGGCTAAGCATATCAAAAAGAAAAAAAAAAGTAGCCCATTTCTCTATTTTCTCTCTTTTCTTTGAATTTTTTTTTTCTCAGAAAGTACAGACCTGCTCAACCTTAAAGGCTGATTCCTATAGACTCAGGTATATATCTAAAGTAAGAGGAAATGGAAGCATGAACTATGATTATCCACTCAGGTATTTATTTATTTTCTATTTTTGTTGGTACCAATCCTGCGGCTTGAACTCAAGGCCTACGTACTATTCTTGAGCTCTTTTGTTAAAGGTTCTAACACTTGAGCCACAGCTCTACTTCCAGGTAGGTGTGTGTGTGTGTGTGTGTGTGTGTGTGTGTGTGTGTGTGTGTGTGTGTGTGTGTGTGTGTGTGTGTGTGTGTGTGTGTGTGTGTGTGTGTGTGTGTGTGTGTGTGTGTGTGTGTGTACGTGTGCATGCACGTGCATGCACAAATGAATGCGTATATGTGTTTAACTGAAATTAAGAGTATCACAGAATTTCCTGACCTGGCTGGGTTCAAATTGTGATCCTTAGATCTCAGCCTCCTCAGCAGGTTACGGATGGGAGCCATCAGTGCCCAGCAACCCAGGGAATTATTTAGGAGTAAGTATCCATGTTTTTTTCAGAAATGTGGTTAGTCTGTACCCTACCTTTCTCTTCTCTGTAACTGTTAGATTGATAAATTACATCCTGGGGAAAAAATCAAATCTTTATAACAGCTCTCTTCTCTCTTTGTACAAATGAAAGGGTTCATTTTTCTTTGTTTCTTAGTCCGCACTGACTTTCCTTAGACGCTTGTCAATGCCTCAGTATTCCTGGGGCCAGGAAATCACAAACTGTACACCAGATGGAGGGGGTCAGCAAGAGAAAAAGAAAAGGTGAATATTCCAAGTGGACCTCTCATCGATCAATTTGAGGTTAACATTATCCCATGTTACTTTAAGCCTAGAAAAAAAAATGAGTTTCCTTTCAAAAAGGCATTTTATGAAAAAGAAGAAGTAATTTTCAATATCCACATCTTGAAGAAAGATGAGGAAAAATGAGCTAAACCCTCATTTTATAATGTAACTTCAGTGGGAAGCATGAATTTCTTTCTTGGCATCACAAATCATTAATAAAATCTGTTGTGCGCTATAATAGGAACAAAATGCCATGGCTGCCTGGTCTAAGAATCCAAAAAGCAACATCAAGATTTACATTACCCTGAAATTTTATTCATTTGATCCAATTATTATAATGTATTTGAAACTATTCTGCATGTAGTTCAATAAAGACACATCCACCTTAACCACTAGTCAAAAAATTAAAGTTCGAACTTAATAAATAATATGCTACTTTCCTCATCAAACACACCTTTATCATGTAATTTCCATATATATGTATATATATATATATATATATATATATATATATATATATATATAAGTTTAATTACATGAGCCCAAACTTGCTTATATCATCATGGAAAAAAAGAAAAGGACAAGCTAGTGTCCTTGCTTTTTGGAGGACTTTTTGTTGTTTCTTCCATTTTGCACATGAGAATAACAAATAATACACTCACTTGAAGAATCAGAATCTCTTTCTCCCTCCCTGAGGTTTAAGAAACTGCCAAATAACACCAGTTGAGAGGTAGGCTAGGTAAATCCTCTAATGTAAGAAACAATTCATGATGCCAATTTTCTACAATTCTGGGTCTAATGGCAAGAACTGAAACAAGCCAAGGCACCCATGACTGACACCTGTAATCCTAGCTACTCAGAAGGCTGAGATATGAGGATCATGGTTCAAGGTCAGCCTGGGCAAAAAAAAGTCCATGAGACTCTTATCTTCAATTAACCAACAAAAACAGAGAAGTAGAGCTGTGGTTCAAGTGGTAGAACACTAGTCTTGAGTGGAAAAATCTAAGGTCTTGAGTTCAAGCTCCAGTACTGGCACTAAAAGAAAAAGGGGGAAAAAAAGAAAAGAAAAAGGGAAAGAATTTAGGAGAAAAATTCTGGAAGTTTAAGTGATTACATCTTCTCTCTTCATGACATGTGAGGCAGGAGCTCTTTCATTCTCTTGAATT